ATTCAAATCAGGTGTGTTTGAGCAGAGAAAAAAATAAAACATGCTGGGCTGCGGCCCTCGAGGACCAGGATTGCCCACCCCTGATGTAGACAAAAGTGCATCTTTTTAAATAACTGTCTTGATTCATCCAAATTGTGTTAAAATTATTTTATGGATGCAGCTATAAAGTCAATATAATTCAAACTCTGTTGAAATTGCTTTATAAATATGGAAGTTATATCAAATATAATGGATAAAACAGATGCATATTTCTTTAATTGATTGTTTTTCTGATCATTAGTGACCAATCGAGATATATGTATATCTTAAATTAAATCTGGGTACTAAGAGCCTTGCGTGGGCACATCTAAGTCTATGATTCAGGTCAATCACAAAATCTGTGATCAATTATTTCATTAAATGGACATTAGAAATATGGGAGGCCCAAATGTTTTGTGCACTTTTTAAATCAAACTGTCATGTTTGAATGGAATTGATGTTTCAGTTGTGCAGAAAGACATCAGCACTGCATGGCAATCTTAAGCACAGTTATCACACATCGCAGGTTTTTCTGACATGGTTGCAGCCCTAGTCATGATGAAATCTTTGGGAAATAACCTACGAAAGACAATGAAAAGCATTTTCTGGCACACTAACCAACCAAATTTGATTACTGCACAGGTGTTAATTGAAAACTCATCTGTTGCGTTGATCAGGATTGTGAGTCACCTTGGGCGTCTGTGGTGCAGTGGAAAGGCGGCCGACTTGGGACCAGAAAGTCACAGGTTCGACTCCCTGCCATGCCCACAAGACACCTGACCCCCAACTGCTCCCTAGGCGCTTACATAGCGTTACATAGCCGCCCGCTGCTCCACTTGGGTGTTTCTCTCATTGTGCGATGGTCAAATGCAGAGCACATGTCTCATCATGTATGGGAACATGCATTGATGACAAGTAAAGTACATTTAGTTAAAGTCTAAACTATKTTAATTTATTATTTAGGGCCCAAAGATATAAATAAACATTGTTGTGTGATTTTCTTTTTTTTTATGTTTCTGCTTATGATGAGCCAGTATGTACTCATAACCTTAAGAAGCCCGTACTCCATGGTTCTCCATTTCTTTCTGAAAGACTTTCCATTTTTATTTATTTTTAAATTGCTTAGTCTTGAACTATAAATGTTTAAGTTAGTAAGACTCAAACTTAGGAAATCAATCAGTGCTGTTAACACAGAACACACATCTTGGCATCAGTTTTTAGGCACACTGTTGCAGCAGCCTGTAACAAAGACAGAGATTATTTACATTTTCTAGTTGTTTATTTGAAAAATACCAAATATGAAGCAGGTTGATAGACAGAAAACAKTATTTTAGTGTAAACAAAGTGATTCCCAAAAAGCTCTATGCCTAAAATGTTTTTTAAAAAGACATTAATTTCTGTTTTGAATCAGTTTTCATTTCTAATACTTCTTTTCCCCTCCACAACTCTGAACCCTCAAAGCTGTTGTTCTGCGTCAGATACATTTGAATATATTTTTAAATCAAATAACAAGTAGAAAAGTTGATATTGGTGATATACTTTGACAAAGTAATATTTCCAAAGGTGGACCATCCAATATGCAACCATCTCCTAAAAACCTGAAGGGAGACCCCCACACTGGATGGGTTCGTGGACATCACAGGGATGGTGGTGGTTACGTCAAGGAGATGCCAAAGTTCATCACTGGTAAAATCATCATCATCATCATCATCATCATCATCATCATCATCATCATCATCATCATCATTCTGCAAACTCACTGCATTTTAATTTCCTCTGTGGTGCTTCACTTGTTACACTGATTTAAAAACTTTAGTGTTCAAAAGTCACACAAGAGGGCAGCTCCACTGCCGGTGGTGTTTACCAGTTTTGTCTGATCTTCAGTTAAGTAGTTCAGCTGAAGCCTAAAGTGKTTTAAGAAGCACACATGCAGCAACAGATTCAGTTTTGTGTTTAGACTTCAGYCTGGTGTTATTTATTTCTCTCCTCGTCAAGCTGGAGCTTTTGCCAGAGCCAGGGCTGCAGAGGTGCGCGCCATGCTGAAAGCCATTACCAAGACAACAGCCAGCAGCCACGTGTTTCAAGCTCTGCCCAAACACATGAGGCGACGGGCCATGAGCCACAACACCAAGCGTCTTCCTCGCAGGCTGAGAGACTTGGCCAACAGAATGGTATCATCCAACTTTTTCATTCAGGATTTTGGTGTTTTTACAAACTTTGTTGTAATTTAATTGGGAATTTATGGATAAAATCCCAGTTTTTGAGTCTTCATCACTGACATTTGTGTTATTTATTTATTTTCACAGCGAGAGAAGAGCCTCCAGGCCAGCTCAAAGAAGAAGAAAGAACCTGCAAAGAACAAAAGCCGCAAAGCTCGCCGACGGCACGGAAACCTGCTGCTGGAGTTCAATCGTCGCCAGCGGAAGAACATCTGGCTGGAGACGCACATTTGGCACGCCAAGCGCTTCCATATGGTTAAGAAGTGGGGTTACTGTCTCGGAGACAGACCCACAAGCAAATGTTATCGACCATGCTACAGAGCCATGAGCAGCCACTGCCTCCTACAGGTAACTGCACTGAMCTGTTTCTTCTGCAGTGGACGTAATGAGGACGTTAGAAAACTGTTTCCATCTGTTCTRCCTGCTCAGGATCTTTCTTACTATCACTGTATTGAGCTGAAGGGTGAGGAAGACAAGCTGCTGGCTGCTCTGTCACAGCTCACCAGTAAGGAGACAGGTAAATACAAATGCAGTTAGTATTTTTTCTTTAGTCTTTTAAAAGTATTTTGGTAGGGGTGCATTGGATGCAGTTTTCTGGYTGATCACCGGTCTTTAAGAAGKGACCTGCTAATTCCAATTTTGGCCGATACTTCGGACTTGTTTCCTCATACTTTGTCTCATTGTCGCCGCTGCAGAAAGGCCATAATGCACAGTAATATTTGCCACAATATCCAATGAACCACTGGTGGTCTTTAGGGCTGCAACTAACGATTATTTTAATAATCGATTAATCTGTATAAATTATGGATGCAAATTATTGATCAATGAATTAATCTGAAGTTGATTTATCTTATAGATTGACAATTAATAACAACAATTAATTGATAAGCAGCCATTTTCTTAAAAACTGGAGTTTTCTCTTGAATCAAGAGGGTCTTTTCATAACATGAAGGATTTTTTTTATAATCTCCTGAATTAAAAAAGAGAAGCACATCATAACTATTTTAACAATTTATTTTGCCAGTCGTATTAAATAATGACTGAAAAAAATGTGTATTTCTCATACATGAAACATAACAAACTTAATAGGTTGGTGAATGAGGAAAATAGATTAAGATATGATTTTTAGATGTAAAACTATTATTAATTTATTATGATTAGAATTTATTTACATTTAACATTTATAATTTTCTCTAATTCTTTACTTTTTGCTTCATTCTTGTTGGTTCTGTCTGACTTTGACCCAGTATAAGTGGTTCTGAGGCAGCTCCCCTCCTCCCCTCTCCTCTGCTGAGGCAGACCTGCTGCTCGAGTATTTTTTTATTTTTTTATTTTTTTATTCCTTCATCCGGAACCTTTTTGCTGCTCAACAAATAACTTTGAGCCTCAGTCAGAAAAAACTGGAGGATTTTTATACTTTTTGCCCAAGAGGAACACGAAACAAACTGTGGATTTATGTGCCCCCCTCCCCCCGCACGCATTTCCTTGTTGCGACGCGACTCGCATCAGACCATCTTTTAAATGTGGCAGATACTTTTTATCCTATCTTCGGATGTACTTGGCCTAACTACATGATTTTAAAAACTGGTTTAAAGTTCGCAGTCTAACTTTATTTAGGTCAGCCAGCATTGACAACGCTCAGCGGGTGACGTAAACGGCTCTGCGACACGGCGAGGGACGCATAAATCACATGACACAACGAATCGATAATGAAATTCGTTGTCAACACTTTTAATAATCGATTTTTATCGATTTTATCGATTCGTTGTTGCAGCCCTAGTGGTCTTCATTCTCCTCTGGTTCTGGGTCAGACTCTGGCTCCAACATGAAAGCTGGAAGGACAAGGCTTTCCGTGTTCAATCAAATCAAAAATACTTTATTGATCCCAAAGAGAAATTACATTTCGGAACAACCCATCCAAGAGAGAAAACAAAAACACAAGAATCACATACATGTGGGGGACAGGTGCCCCGGGCTGCAGCCACTGGGAGGTGCTACCCTTGCATAAAAAACAAGAAAAAAAAGAACTGGCACACAGGAGAGGAAGATGAGGGATAAAAAAAATATCTCATACTGTGTCCCTACAAGGACACATTAAGAGATATTTTTTTCCTACACAGTATGAGGTTGCAAAACAAAACCTCTGCAAAGAGCACATTTAAGCCAGCAAAGATGGTGAATTGTGTGGTGGGGTATCTGAAGCCATGGAAATGTTGCTTGTGCATCTGTGARGTAAGACCGTGAAACCAGGCAGCCCCACCCAGTGTAGTTTCTGAAAAGATGTAGCGTTCATTAGGTCGGCTTGATGTCTCTCAGACACCAGTTCACAGACATGAGTGGGAGGKGSGGATGGTGGGGGCCAGAGCRTCTGTTAACATAACATCCAGGAGAGTTTGAGATGTCCAACCTTCAAGGCMACATAGGGGTGCCAGATTCAGATAATYATAATTGTTTTGGTACAGGTTGACACTGTTGATTTGTCAACTTTCAAAGTCTTCTCTGGGAACTCTCAATGGGAAATTCCAACCATTCAAATTTGAGCCATTCTATTCTGCCAGTGAGCTCAGGAACCACAGCTGGCCTGGAGTGATGACAGCTCAGCATATTCCATCACACAGGCTAGGCAGCCTCAACATGGCCCAAATGGCTGCCGACACTTCCCGAATTTCCATTTTCTGATGGGCCAGATCCAATAAGCAGAAATGCTGCTATCAATGATCCAAATATGTAAACATCTTTGTCGTCCTCGACCGACAGTACAGACAGGCACATTATCTTCCACTTCCCCCAGGAATCGATAACATGCCTGGCAGCRTATGTACCGCCAGGACAAGAGAGCTCCCCTTTGCCCAGTCTCCTCGTGGAGAAAATGTGATGAATAGTGTTGAGAGAYCAGCTGACCAGATCCAYAATTTCCAGTTTTGGAAGATATGCAAGASAGGCTCYAAATAAGGGAAGATTGAGGAGATAGAGAGAAATGCGTCCTCCTTCACTGAACGCGGAACAACAAAATTTTTTTTTATTTAATTCGTAAATAAACAGTTTCTGTGCTGCTATATAGTTTTAAAACCATCTATCAAACTAGAATGGACCAGTCTGGAAGCTGGAGGTGGGAGGGGTGTGAAACTTTGTTTGGATTTAAAGAGACAGCCTCAAAATTAGTTGATCTGAGTTACAAGAAGGAGGAATTCAGACCAAAGTATTGCAGTTCCACTTTATACAGACCCCCCAACTGAAGGATTTTAAAGCTCCAAATGTCTCCTTTAACATAAGATGTTAGTTTTAAACTCTTTTTTGAAAGGAAGCAGGTGCTTTTTTTGGTGTTTRATTTGTACGATTATGTTTTTAGTTTGGAGTCACAGCCTTCAGTTTGTGTCTAGGTCCTACATTTGCTGCAGGCCTGTGTCTGTCGGGGTGCAGACAGGGAAGTGTAACAGTGTACAGAGCAGGGCGGTACCCCTCCCAGCCCCTGGGCCCTGTCACCTTCCTCTGGAGACCCCAAACACAAGGAGCAACTGGCAGGCAGCTATGGATCTGGGCTCATCCCRCTCTGAAGCAGGTAGGATGGGCTTTAAAAGCGAATTTAGTTGGTAAAATTTAGCAGGTATGAGTCAGTTTTCCATCATGTGTTTTGTATGCAGGATCTTCTCCCTGAATTACAAAGTGTGTGTCAGTGTCATGATGTTGTGGTTCCCCCGGCTGTACCAGAGGTCTTACAGGCAGAGGTGAGTGATCCCCCACAGCCAGAGAACCTCTCAGAAGAGAAGCTGAAATGTGGGATCAAAAGGAAAAGGCACTCTAGGGACACCGGTGAGCCTCCTGTGAAGAAGATTCTGGGAGATGGAACCAGATCACCTGGCACTCCGGTTACCTGGAAGTCCGGATCAACGGGGATTGTTATAAAGTTAGTGAAATGTTTGAAAATTYATCTGRAAAGCAAGCTTTGACAGCTTATTTTTCATGAATATAATGCTCCCTCATCCCAGCAGATGTGCAGGATGAGGGACATTATTTGAATTGTAGTGAGCCTGAGGCTCATTACAAGTAAACAGCATCATTTGAG